TATATATATATATTAAAAAAAACATTTTCCACGAATCACTTAAATGAAAATTATTAATGCATATTTTTACTATTACATTATAATCATATTCCTTTAAAAAGTTTAATTGAGTGAAATTCTGAATTATGCTTTTTGTTTAAACACAGAAATTTGTCAAAATGACGATTAAGTTAGATATGGCATACCATCTGTAATTAGTATGTCACTTACTAGGTGCTAAAGCAAGATTGTTTGGAAACATCACCGCCACATAATCTGCACGTAAAAACGTCAATGACTCTCCGCGAAATGTTATAACTACAATTCTCTTGTATACACGACCATAATAATGTTAACACGTTCAAAAAAATGACACATTTGTTGTAGTTTGATATCGTAAGCGTGCCATGTTGTTTGCTGGCAATGTGCAAGCACGGTCACATTCAAGTCTGCTCCAGAACACATGACCCCTTGAGAAGCATGCAGCAGACAATCTCTTTTTCAATTTTAGAGTCTGATTGAAATCAATCATATTCGTACTCATCTATCTCATATTATTGTAACGTTTTCCGCTTCTGACCACCTTTGTACATGCTTTCTTTCTTCTATTCCTTAATTTAAGATACTAACTCGCCTACTATAATTCATGTTATTTCATATGTACTGAACAGTAACTTGTCAACTACAAGTCTTCCTCCACTTTTGGGACTGGGGTTTTCATAGTCTTTAGCAGCTTTGTAACAATAAGATAAAACATTTCCAGGGGCGGATTTAGGGGGGAAGCCGGCCTGGTCCTGGCCACCCCATTTTGGGAGGTAAAAAAAGGGGGAAAAAAAAGAAAAAGAAAAAAATGATAGCCCATAACACCTCAAATGTTATTTTCGAGCGTCTAGAACACAAAAATTTCGCGGGGGTATGCCCCCTAACCCCCTAGGACATTGCTGTCTCGATCGGCCCAAATTTCGGCCCTCCCCACCCCCCTTTTTGGACATCTCTGGATCCGCCCCTGATTTCTGAATATGGAATAACAGCAAAGTGGTCTTTAATTGGAGATGCCATTCAAATGGAAGGGCCTTTACTTAGAGAAAGATCTGTATTAAATTTTTTTTTGTTATCTGAAATGGACTTAGAAAACCCATACATACTATTATGAAATTAAGAAAGAAATAAGAAATAAAAAATTAAATAGTTAAAAAAAAAAAAATTCAAAAAATGAAAATAACTTTTTTAACAGTTAATATTTTTGGAGACTTGTTTTCCATAATTATTTATATGTACTGAAATGTTTTGAAATGTTTTTTTACCTTTGAAATTATTTCATTAAAAATTAAGACCGAAGAACTGTAAATTAAGTCTTTTTAGTTTGCTTTATTTGTAAGAAATAATTCTACTTTAATTGACTTTTGCTGGATTTGAACCTAAGACCATGGAACAGGATGATAAGTACCAGGCTTCTGTACTCAGCCACCACATTTACGTCAACAAATAAAACTAATCATAAAAACAAACCTTGTCAATGTTAAATTTTAATCTATTACTTTTACATTCGCAGATCTGAAGGGAGGGTCAGTGGTCGGGGTCATGACCCCCATGGGAAAAAAAAATTGTAGACCTACATTTTTAGGACCCGTGAGCTGAAAGTTTTTGTTTCAAAGGGAAAATTAGAAGTTTTAAAATTTTCCCCCATCTAGGAATCAAAATTTTTCAGGGAAAACCTAGACCCCCCTTTCTTTTTGGGTTTTTTTCCTTGTGTTTATGGCATTAATATAACCTCGACTTTTATCATTTGTCTATTCAGATTTTGTATTTTGCCAAAATGAATAAAATAAATAAAATAAAAATCATATTTGTGAT